CACCCACTCTTTGGGTCAGCGCCACTTTTTTGCTTATGTGGTGCTGGGGAATAGAACCCAGGGCCTCAGGCATGCAAGGCAAGCGCTATACCACTGAGCCACTTTCCCAGCCCCTGCTTGGCCTATTTAATGTTAAGATTCTGAACCAAATATAGAGGAAAGCTATAAGTTATAATAGGCTTAGAAATACTTAGATTATGTAGAAATGAGAAATAATATTTACTAAGGGAAATATTCCTATTAGGTAACTTAAGACATTATGACTTGTTTTGTGAATGGTTAAAAGTTGCTATAGGTTGAGTATTTCTTATCTGAAATTCTTGGGACCAGACTATTTCAGATTTTAGAGTATTTGTATATACATAAAGAAATAACCTTGGTGTAGGACCTAAGGGCAAGCATAAATCTTTATATGTGTATAGACTGGTGCCAGTCATCTCAGATATTTTTTTTTTTTTTGTCGTTCATGGGGCTTGAACTCTGGGTCTGGGCGCTGTCCCTCAGCTCTTCAGCTCAAGGCAAGCACTCTGCCACTTGAGCCACAGTTCCACTTCCCATTTTCTGGTACTTTATTGGAGATAAGAGTTTCACGTCTTTTCCTGCCTGGGCTGGCTTTGAACCATGATCCTCAGATCTCAGCCTCCTAAGTAGCTAGGATTACAGGTGTGAGCCACTGACACCTGGCTCAAATACTGTTTTTATAATTTGTTGTTAGCACAGAGTTGCTTATTGATTGTGCCCTCATTTTCTTTTACTTACCTTTTTTCAGTGCTGGGGATTGAACCCAAGGCCTTGTGCATGCTAGGCAAGAATTTTACCACTGAGCTACCTCATTTTTATCACAACCTTTTTTTCTTTTTTTGTGTCGTGGGGCTTGAACTCTGGGCCTGGGTGCTGTCCTTTAGCTCTTCAGCTCAAGGCGAGCATTCTACCGCTTGAGTCACAGCACCACTTCCGGTTTTCTAGCGGTTCATTGGAGATAAGAGTCTCACGGACTTTCCCGGGCTGGCTTTGAACCGGGATCCTCAGATCTCAGTCTCCTGAGTAGCTAGGATTACAGGCGTGAGCCACTGCCTGGCTATCACAACCTTTTTATAGATGTATACTGAAAGTAAAACTTACTAAGTTTAGCTGCATTCAAACTATATTGAAAGGGAGTCTTTTTATTGCAATTATTATTTTAAAAAATATTTACATTTCTCTATGACTCATATTTCTTTAGGTTCCTGATTTACCTGAAGAACCTTCTGAAACAGATGAAGAAGTAAGTTTTTTCTTTTTTTCTTTAAAAATTAAGGGCTGGGAAGGTGGTTCAGTGGTAGAGTGCTTGCCTTGCATGCCTGAGGCCCTGGGTTTGATTCCTCAGTACCACATAAGCAGAAAAAGCTGGAGTGGCTCTGTGGCTCAAGTGGTAGAGCTGAGCGACAGCGCCCAGGCCCAGAGTTCAGTCCTCATGACTGACCAAAAAATAAAATAAAATAAATTTATTTCCTCTTTTCTTTAACATCAAGTAAGCCTGTCTTGTCTGAACTTGAGCTTAGAGAGAAAAGGTAGCTTGAGTTTGGAAGCCTGCTGTCTGCTGGATTACCTTTTTTTTTTTGTCAGTCATGGGGCTTGAACTCTGGGCCTGGGCGCTGTCCCTCAGCTCTTCAGCTCAAGGCAAGCGCTCTACTGCTTGAGCTACAATGCCACTTACGGTTTTCTAGTGGTTTTTATTGGAGATAAGAGTCTCACAGACTTTCCTGCCCAGGCTGGCTTTGAACCGTGACCCTCAGATCTCAGCCTCCTGAGTAGCTAGGATTACAGGCGTGAGCCACTGGCACTGGGCCATTGCCATAGGCAGTGAGATGGTACATATGGACTTTTCTGGAACTTGAGGTCAGCAAATGAGCTACTTACTAAAACAGAATCAAAATAAGCAGATAGGTACAACTTATAGTTCTCACCTTAAAGAAGACTGGCCTGGGAAGGTGGCACAGTGGTAGAGTGCTTGCCTCGCATGCCTGAGGCCCTGGGAAAAAAGCGAAGAGGAAGACTAGCTATGTGTGAGCTGGCTGCTCTTCCGGTCGGCTGGGACTGCTCCTTCTGTACTAAGCTGCTGTTCCTAGTGCTTTTATTATTAAGCTGGCTGCTCTTCTGGTCTGCTGGGACTGCTCCTTCTGCACTAAGCTGCTGTTCCTAGTGCTTTTATTCTTATTATTTTTGCTGAACCTGGGGCTTGAACTCAGGTCCTAGGTGCCGCCCCTGAGCTTTTTTGTTCAAAGCTATTTCCACCTTGAGCCACAGTTCTACTTCCAGCTTTTTGGTAATTAAATGTAAGAGTCTTATATGAAGTTTCCTACCCGGGTTGGCTTTGAACTGCAGTCATCAGATCTCTGCCTCCTGGGTAGCTAGAATTGCAGGCATGAATTTCTGTGCCTGGCTCTAGAGCCTTCTTACCCTTGGCTAGCTTAGTCCAAAGCACGTAAGACATTTGGACAATGTATCCAGAAAGAACTGTTAGAGCTTTACGTTTCTTTTCCTCTTTTTGGTGTGCTGTTACTGGGAGACTTAAACTCAGAGCCTAAGTGCTATTCCTTAGCTTTTTGTGCTCAAGGCTGGTATTCTACCACTTGAGCAACAGCTCCAATTCCAGCTTTTTGGTAGTTAATTGGAGAGAAGAGTCTCATGGATTTTCCTGCTTCGACTGGATTCAAATGGTGATCTTCAGATCTCAGCCTCCTGAGTAGGATTACAGATGTGAACCACTGGCACCTTGTACTCCCCCCATCCCTTTTTTTTTTTTTTTTTTTTGCCAGTCCTGGGGCTTGAACTCAGGGCCTGGGCTCTTTCCCTGAGCCTCTCTGTGCTCAAAGCTAGTGTTCTACCACTTGAACCACAGTGCCACTTCCGGTTTTCTAGAGGTTTATTGGAGATAAGAGTCTCATGGGCTTTCCTGCCTAGGCTGGCTTTGAACCGCGATCCTCACATTTCAGCCTCCTGGGTAGCTAGGATTATAGGTGTGAGCCACTTGCGCTCGGCTCCGGCTTTTTCTTTTTATGCAGCACTGAGGAATCAAACCCAGGGCTTCAGGCATGTTGGGCAAGTTTAGCAACTGTTCTCCTTGGAGACATCGCCCCTTTTTTCTTCCCCAAATAATGTCAGCACGTTTCATAGTTCAGCTTGCTTAGATGCGAGCAATCTTTTTCTAGCCATATTCATCCTACTCATCCTCCTTTGCCACCTTCAAATTTGAGGTAGTCATGAAGGCGTTCTGGAGGCATGTGCCTAGGCCACTTGCTGAAGCCCTGAGTGCACTGCAGACAAAAGCACAGCTGGAGGAGACTCATGAGTAGAGATCTGAGTTCAAACCCCAGTGTGAAATGAAGAGAAAGAAAGAGAGGAGAGGGGCTGGAAGGTGGCTCAGTGGTAGAGTGCTTGCCTTGCATGCCTGAGGCCCTGGGTTCGATTCCTCAGCACCACATAAGCAAAAAAAAGGAAAAAGCCGGAAGTGGCACTGTGGCTCAAGTGGTAGAGCACTAGCCTTGAGCTGAAGAGCTAAGGGACAGCGCCCAGGCTCAGAGTTCAGGCCCCATGACTGGACCCCTCCCCCCCCCAAAAAAAAGAGAGTGAGTAAGGAAGAAAGGATCATTGAGCAAGGCCTTTTCTCTGTGTGTAGTTGTTCCTGTGCATAGATGTCTAATAATTTTTGGTGGTAGTACTGGGGTTTCAACCTCAGGGCTTTGTGCTTTTTTTTTTTTTGTCAGTTGTGGGGCTTGAACTATGGGCCTGGCCACCGTCCCTCAGCTCTTCAGCTCAAGGCTAGGCTATACCACTTAAGCCACAGCTCCACTTCCAATTTTCTTTTTTGTCTGTTGTTGTTTTTTTTGGGGGTCCGGTTGTGGGGCCTCAACTCTGGGCCTGGGTGCTGTCCCTCAGCTCTTCAGCTCAAGGCTAGCGCTCTACCACTTGAGCCACAGCGCCACTTCGGCTTTTTTTTCTTTTTGCTTATGTGGTGCTGAGGAATCGAACCCAGGGCCTCAGGCATGCAAGGCAAGCACTCTACCACTGAGCCACTTTCCCAGCCCTCCACTTCCAGTTTTCTGAGTGGTTTATTTCAGGTAAGAGCCTCACGGACTTTCCTGCCTAGGCTGGCTTTGAACCTTGATCCTCAGATCTCAGCCTCCTGAGTAGTTAGGATTACAGGTGTGAGCCACCAGCTCTGCTGCAGTCCATTTTCTTAGTTCTATTATAGGGCACTGTGAGCATGGGATGACAGGCATGTGCCACTGCACCCAGCTGTGGGTTGAGATGGGATCTCTTTTTCTTTGTGGGCTGGCCTCAGACTGCCATCCTCCCATTTTGATCTCCTGAGTAGGTAGGGTGATAATTGCTGGCCACTGGCACCTGGCTTACATGAACATTCTTATTCCTCAGGTAATAACCATTGCTCTCCGACGTCCAAGTGGGAATGTCCTGAGGAGAAGGTTCTTTAAGTCTTGCAGTTCACAGGTAAGTGAGGAATTTTATGGGAGAGGTGTAGTCTCAGACATTTGTAGGTGTTTTGACTTGCAAAATTTGGATAACTAGGCATGTTAGGCAGCCTTCCTGTTGTTTGGAGCTGAGGATGGAATCTAGGCTTAGACTTGCTAGGTGAACAGTATACTACTGAGTTCTATCTCGTTGTTACTCTACCACTTGAGCACAGCACCACGTCTGGCTTTTTCTGAGAAGTATATTGGAGATAAGAGTCTTGGACTTTCTTGCCCTTGGCTGGCTTAGAGCCATGATCCCCAATCTCAACTCGACTCTTCAGTAGCTAGGATTACAGGTGTGAGCTACTGGCTACCAGCAGCACCAAGTTTCTCTCTCTCTCTCCTTCCCTCCCTCTCTTCTTCCCTCCTTCCCTTCCTTCCTTCCTTTCTTTCTCTTTCTTTTCTTTCTTTCTTTCTTGATTTTAATTGGCACATAGTGATTGTACATCTTTATGGGCTACAGTGTGACATTACAGTACCCAGTAATGTGCTGATGAGATCGGATTAATTGGCACTCCTGTTACCTCAGGCATAAATAGTGTTCAAAACATTTTAAACCTTATTAGCTATTTGGAAATTTTCATCTAGTAGTTATCCTGCTGTGTTAAATTTTCTGTCCAGCAGCAGCATGTATCCAATAGTCAGCTTATAGGTAAGGCATTTTTTTGGTTGGTCGTGGAGCTTGAACTCTGGGCCTGAGCACAGTCCCTGAGCTCTTCAGCTCAAAGCTAGTTTGCTCTACCACTAAGCTCAAAGCTAGCTCGCTCTACCACTTAAGCCACAGCGCCCACTTTGGGCTTTTTCTGTGTATGTGATACTGAGGAATTGAACTCAGAGCTTCTTGCATGCGAAGCAAGCACTCTACCACTGAGCTACTTTCCCAGCCCCAATAAGGCATTATAAATCCTTAAGAAGAAAACAGTATTTGCTTTGATCCCATTATCCCTGGTGGATTATCAGCTTATGTCCCATTGCTCAAATGTAATTTTCAGATCAAGTTTTTTTTTTCCCAGTCTGGGTGGCTTGAATGCTGGGTCTTTGTGCTGTTCCTGAGCTCTTTTGCTCCAGGCTAGCACTCTACTGCTTGAGTCATAGTGCCACTTCTGGATTTTTCTGTGATTAATAAGAGTCTCACAGACTTTCCTGTCTGGGCTGGGTTTGAAAGACCCTAGACCCCTAGGATGCTTTCGTCAATGGGAGGGCGCCCCAGAAAACTCAGACTCCAGGCCGAGAGATGCAATAAGCAAGAGGAGTTTATTTCACGTTTGCGCAAACGGACTCTCTGCCCCGGTCAGTCAGAGAGCCCTGAGCAGCGGTTACAAGCCCTTTTTAAAAGGCAAAAACCACAAGATTAACGCATAATACAAAGCATTCCATGATTGGTCCATTTAAAGGTCATCATATACACCAACAATCACTTTGCCACGCGGGAAATTTTGTAACACTCTTTGTAAAATGACTGGCCCATGGTTGGTTTAAGGGGGGTTTACTTGGTTACAGGCCTATGATTGGTTGACACTTGGCTTAGCGTGTGGTCTTGCCAGGTGGTCGTTATCTCAAGGTCCTGTCTGGGGAATTTCTAAATGGGAACTGAGGAACACGTACTGTCTGTTCTTTATCTACGACCACTGACCTTGTCTTGGGGCTGACATCTGGGCTCTGAGACTTTACCCAATTCCTTATTTCCAGGGAGGGGGTTGGTGTTAGCTCAAGCAAGCAAGTTTACAGAAGCAGAGTCAGCAGTTAGTAAATTGTAAAATGGATGCAGCCCTAATTTTTCTAATTCTTCAGGTTCAAACTGCGATCCTTAAGATCTCAGCCTCCTGAGTAGCTAGTGTGAGCCACCAGTACCCAGCTTCAGATTAGTTTTTAGGGCTTATTTCCTTTGGCCTTAATGGAGAGATCTTGTATTAGAAATAAATTGGAAAACAGAAAAATAGGAGAAAAAGTGTGATGCCAAAAGCCAGTTACAGATATTTTTCTTATTTTCATTTCTAAATATATTTAAACATAAATTATATATGAGTTACAAACACTTGGAGCCAGGCTCAAGCCTGTACTCCTAGGTACTTGGGAAGAGGGGACTGGGGGAGGGGGGAGGAGGTTATAGGCAAAAATATTCCTCAGACTCCATTTCTCCATTTTAACCAATTGCTGGGTAGGATGGCACCTGGCTGCCACCCCCAGCTGTTGGAGAAACACTGGTTTGGAGCAGGGGAGTGCAATTCTAATCCTAGTGAAGAAGGGAAGCACAAATAGGCTAGGCCAGCTTGGCCAGAAAATGAGATCCTATCTTGAAAAAGCCAATGTAAGAAAGTGGCTGATGGAGTGGATTACATGGTAGAATACCTGCCTAGCAAGTCAGAGGCCCTGAGTAAACTCACCCTAGTATCACCAAAAAGGAAGAATACATGTAGGGCTGGTGGTGCACTTCAATGGTAGAGTCTTGGCCTAGCATTCCAAGGTCTAGGTTTCCATACCCATTAGCATGCACACACACTCATACTCACACAACTTCTCTTTTAAGAGCTGGGCATTGTGGGCACGTGTTGACACTCCCAGCACTTGACAGGCTGAAAGGAGGATCACAAGTTTGAGGCTAGGCTGGGCCATATAGCAACACCATATGTCAATAAACAAGAAAAAGAATGACAGCTGGCACCAGTGGCTCATGCCTAGAATCTAAGCTACTCAAGAGACTGAGATTTAAGGGCTGAGGTTCTAAACCAACCCAGGGAGACAAATCTGAGAGACTCAGCAAGAAGTTGAAAATGGGGGCATGGCCAACTGTATGGGTGGAAAAAGCCCAAGATCTTGAGGCCCTGAATTTAAGCCCTACTATATGAGAGAGAGATAGGCAGACAGAGAGAGAGAGAGAGAGGGAGAGATAAATGAATGCAAGTAAGATGCTTTGAAAAGCCCTCTCCCCTCCACCCCCATTTATAAGAATTCATTCTATGGAAGTAAGACTAGGTAAATTACAGACCTTTACAATTATAACATAGCTGGGGATGTAGCTTATCAACAGAGCTGATACTGAGCATGTGCAAGGCACTGAGTTCAATTCCAAGCACAGCCAAAACAAATAGTAAAATAAAAAATGAAACTTAGGACAGAAACATTACATGAAGTATCAGTAGTTCTTGGATGGTGACTAGCAGGTGAAATCAGGGATTGATTATACTTGAAATCATATGACATTCCTCTGGAATATTCTGTCATGTATTTTTTTTTGTCCATTGTGGGGCTTCAACTCTGGGCCTGGGCAATGTCCCTGAGCTCTTCAGCTCAGGGCAAGTGCTCTACCACTTGAGCCACAACACCACTTCTGGCTTTGAGTAGTTTATTGGAGATAAGAGTCTCACAGATTTACCTGCCTAGGCTGGCTTTGAATTGCGATCCTCAGATCTCAGCCTCCTGAGTAGGTAGGATTACAGGCGTGAGCCACTGGTGCCCAGCTTACTGTCATACACCTTTTGTTTTTAATGGTATAGGGATTTGAAATGAAGGCTTTACACTTTGCTTGGCTTGATTACCAGGCTGCTGCTCTGCCACTTGAGTCATATCTTCAGGCCTACTTTTCACTGGTTATTTTGGTAGTGGAATCATGGGCTGGTCTTTTCATTTTTTTTTTGTGCCAGTAGTACTGGGGCTTGTGCTCTTCCCTGCTTTTTCAGTCATGGCTGGCACTCTTCACTTGAGCCACACCTCCACATCCAGATTTTTGCTGGGTAATTGGAGGTAAGTCTACAGGACTTTTCTGACCTGGCTGGCTTTGAACCTCAATCCTCATATGTTAGCCTCCTGAGTAGCTAGGATTGTAAACATGAGCCCAGGCTGGCATTGAACTGAGATCCTCTGGATCTCATCTACCTAAGTAGCTCTAATTTCTTTGATACTGGAGTTTGAATTAAGTCCTTGTGCTTTTGAGGCAGGTACCCTACTGCTGAGCCATGCCTCCAACCCTTTGCCTTGTTTATTTTTGAACTCAGGGCCTGGGCACTGTCCCTGAGCTTCTTTTGCTCAAGGCTAGCACTCTTCCACTTGAGCCACAGTGCTACTTCTGGCTTTTTCGGTTTCTGTGGTACTAAGGAGCCGAACCCAGGGTTTCATGCATGCTAGGCAAGCACTCTACGACTGAAGCCACATTCCTAGCCCTTCAGTTATTTTTGGAAAGAGTCTCAACCTTGCTCTTATTTTTTTATTAGTTTAGTATTGGGGCTTAGATTATATATGTGAGTCACTGTCCCCAGTAGTAAGTAGAAAATTTGATGATTATAGGAATTAACACAACCTTGCTATGTTACTGCTCACAAATTTCTAGGTTTCTATCCCAAGTAGTTGGGATTACATGTATTCACTGCTATGCTTCACTTTTCTTCATTGATGTTTTGTTGCTGGGGTTCAAACCTAGAGCCTTGCGTAAATATGGCAGACAGAAAATGTCTCAACATTATAGGACTGGTTCATGGAAAAGTCAGGCTATTATAAGGGAGTTGTGTGTGGGCATGTCTTGTAATAGTTTGTAAGTGACTTTATTTTGGGGGGTTAGTACTAGGGCTCAAACTCAGTGTTTTGTACTTGCTAGATAGGCCTTCTGCTGCTTAAGCCATGCTGCCAACACTCCTAAGTGATTTTGTTTGTGTTGCGTTGTTTTAGATTCTGATCTAAATAACTTTTCCCCCAAATGCTATCCTTTTATTCTCAATCTGCTCATTGAATACTTTCTCCATTCCCTGTGCGTGGATGAGGCTTTTGTAGTGATTAAACACTTCTGCTGTCAGATACCAGCAAACCCTACACTTTGTCTGGAATAAAAGGTATTAAAAACGTTTTAGTGATTATGACATGCTATTCTCCTTTAAACTCTAGAAAGTTAGAAAGGCTTGGGAGTCTTTCTCCATTACTTCTCGGGATATTATTTCACAGGGACGGAGCTTTAAGGTGTCACCGTCACAGTGACCTAGAGGAACCTGAGTGTACAGCATTTATAGTCATAAGCTTCTTATCTTCTAGGTCTTGTTTGACTGGATGAGGAAAATTGGATACCATCCATCTCTCTACAGCCTTTCTACGTCCTTCCCCAGGAAGCCTCTGGAGGTGGAGGAAGGCTGCTCCCTGGCCGATATAGGAATCACTGTGGACACTATACTCATTGTGGAAGAGAAAGAACAGGGCAACTAGGAAAGAACTGTCAAAAACTATGATTCTACTTACAGTCATCTATACTATGACCGCAGATCCACATTCAAATCATGCCATACCTTGATAGAGCTCAAGGCAGCACAAACTTCAGTGTTGTTATCAGTGGGAAAACAGCCACCTAAAAATGGGAAAAAGATGGCTTTCTGCATATAATTTGTAGGCTGTGCCATCTTTAGTGGACCAAACAAAGATGAGGTAAAAATGTATATATAGTGAGGTATTAATTTTATACTTTCATTAGTGGACATCTTTGGATGCTGAAAGTCAGTCCCAGGTATGGTAGCGCATGCTCCTAATTCTAGCAATCCCGGGCAACACAAGATTCTGTCCTGAAACCAAAAAATAAAAACAAAAAAACTGAAGTCCTTTAAGACTTTGATTTCTGCCTCTTCTTGCTGTCTTACCATCCAATATTTCACCATTTAACTAAACCCATCAAATCTTCTATAAGTGGGAATGTTATTTTATTGTTTATTTAGGTTTTATTTCAAAGCCTTTTAAGGTTTCAGTTGTTTTTGGTAGATATACACTATTTACTCAGTGGATATCTGCAGTTTATATAGGTTGGTCTTGTATTAAGTTGTAATATTCTTTTTTTGCCAGTCCAAGGCTTGAACTCAGGGCCCGGGCACTGTCCCTGAGCTTCTTTTGCTCAAGGCTAGCACTCTACCACTTGAGCCACAGCACCCCTTCTGGCTTTTTCTTTTTTCTTTTTTTTTCTGTCGGTCATGGGGCTTGAACTCTGGGACTGAGCGCTGTCCCTGTGCTCTTCAGCTCAAGGTGAGCGCTTGAGCTACAGCGCCACTTCTGGTTTTCTGGTGGTTTATTGGAGATAAAGAGTTTCACAGACTTTCCTGCCCAGGCTGGCTTTGAACCGAGATCCTCAGATCTCAGCCTCCTGAGTAGCTAGGATTACAGGCATGAGCCACCGGCACCCAACTATTTCTGGCTTTTTCTGTTTATGTGGTACTGAGAAATGGAACCCAGGGCTTTGTGCGTGCTAGGCAAGAACTCTACCACTAAGCCACATTTCTAGCCCCAGTTGTAATATTCTTAAATTTTTTTTGTTATTATAAAGATGATGTTCAGAAAGGCTACTATTACATAAGTCAGGTAAAGAGTACATTTCTTTCTTTCTTCTTTGGTTGTGAGGCTTGAACTAAGGCCTGGGCGCTATCTCTGAGCTTTTACACTCAAGGTTAGTATGCTACCATTTTAATCCACAGCTCCACGTCCAGTTTTCTGGTGGTTTATTGGAGATAAGAGTCCCATAGAAGGGGCTGGGAAGGTGGCTCAGTGGTAGAGCGCTTGCCTTGCATGCCCAAGGCCCTGGGTTCAATTCCCCAGCACCACATAAGCAAAAAGAAAAAAGCCAGAAGTGGCACTGTGGCTCAAGTGGTAGAGCGCTAGCCTTGAGCTGAAGAGCTGAGGGACAGCACCCAGGCCCAGAGTTCAGGCCCCGTGACCGGACCCCCAAAAAAACAAACAAAGAGTCCCATGGACTTTGCTGTCCAAACTGGCTTTGGACTGTGATTGTCAGATCTCAGCCTCCTGAGTAGCTAGGATTACAGGTGTGCCACTAGTGCCTGGTAAGAGTACATTTCTTTTTGGACAGCGTCACCCCTTCCTTTACTCTCTCCCAGTTTTGGGTTGTATTATTAAAGTTACAGGTGACACTGAGTTGTTACCTTTCCTCCCCCTCCACCACATTGGAACAGTAGGTTCCAATGTGGTGAAGATATATGTCAGCCAAGTATGCCTGAGGCTCTGCAATTTGATCTCTAGAACCATAAAAAGACAAAATTATGAAAGACCTATGAAAGCATTAAAATATAGGTCAATTTGCTAGGCATGATAGCTCATGCCTATAACCCAGGTCCTTGAAACACAGAAACTGGATCATGGTTCAAGGCTAGCCATGGAAAAAGTTAGGAGATACCATCTCAACAAATGAACTAGCTGTGGGATAAAGCTAGATGTTGATGTCTTATAACTACAGTCCTCCCTTCTCAGGAGCCTGTGACCTGGAGCATCATGCTGAGAAGCCGGCCAGGACAGAAAAGTCAGACTCCTGTCAGGCTGGACCAAGTAGCAAAATGCTGGCCATTACAAGCAAGTGTGAGGCCTTTGGCTCAAGTTCAGGTACTAGCAAAAAAAGGGATACCGATGAGATTAGCTAAAGGAAGGAAAGGAAGGCTGGGAATGTACTTCAGTATGTATGGCATGGGTCAGTTCCCAGTACTGGATAGGGGGGAAAAAAAAAAAGCCAACGTTCTCTAAGCCTTTTTCTTTTTGCCAGTCCTGGGGCTTGAACTCAGGGGCCTGGGCACTGTCCCTGAGCTTTTGCTCAAGGCTAGTGTTCTGCCACTTGAGCCACAGCGCCACTTCTGGCTTTTTCTGTTTATATGCTACAGAGGAATTGAACCCAGGGCTTCATGCACACTAGGCAAGCATTCTACCACAAAGCCACATTCCCAGCCCCTCGAACCTATTTTTTGAATAGTGCTGGGGATGAGTTTCACTGCTACATTTCTAGCCTGAATGAACTACTCAGGTTTAGAAGATGCTCAGCCTGTCCAGATGACTGAAGGCTAAAATTAATATGGCTCTAGGCAGCAAAGATCAAATCTGGGCACTGTTAGGAAAGCATGGCTTAACGATAGGGGCACAGGTATAACTATATTATGGAAGACTTGAGAAAAGCTCATAAGTTGTTGCTGCCTCTGCATCAGATCAATGCTCTGGTGTAGTGCATCCAAGTAATCTCAACTACTCTGGAGGGAGAAACAGGATCAGGAGTTTGAGGCCAGTCTGCATAAAGCCAGCAGGACCTTATCTCAGAAACAAAAGGCTTGAGGGCATAATTTAAGAGTTTGAGTGCTTAGAAACCACAGGGGAGGATTCATTCCCCAGGACTGAATGGGGGAGATCACAGAAAATTCATGTTTTAAAAATTACATCTAGTCACGTGCTGATGGTTCACACATATAATTCTAGCTGCTCAGGAGGTTGAGATAGGATTCAGAACTAGCCTGGACAGTAAAATCAGTGAGACTCTTGTCTTCAATGACCCAAAAGCCAGAGTGGAATGTGGCTCAAGTGGTAGAGTGCTCACCTTGGGCAAAAAACATAAGAGAAAGTACCAGCACACACAAGAAATCAGTGTTGGGGCTGGGAAGGTGGCTCAGTGGTAGAGTGCCTGTCTCGCATGCATGAGGCCCTGAGTTCGACTCCTCAGCACCACATAAGCAGAAAAAGCCAGAAGTGGCACTGTGACTCAAGTGGTAAAGTGCTAGCCTTGAGCTGTAGAGTTGAGGGACAGCGCCCAGGCCCAGAGTTCAGGCCCCACGACCAGCAAAAAAAAAAAAGAAAAGAAAAATATCAGTGGTAACCTGGTTAACCTGAAGCGAAAGTAAAAATTAAGAGGCCCTTGGGTCTCCAGTTTCTGGCAGGAAAATGAGGTGTGAAGAAAACCCGCTCTGCTCCCTTCCATGTAAAACACACTTCAAGGGTGAAAACTAGGACAGAGTCCAGGAAAGTCATTTCCTGGCAGGAACAGGGCCCAGGCCTCCCAACACATGCCCAGCTGGATTTCCAGTGACTTGGTGTGTGGCTGCTTTCACTTTCAGTCTTTCTGCCCTGCAGTGTGGGACTTATGTCCGTACCACCAAGGTGGGAGCATATGCGGAGAGGCGGTGACTGCTCCACCAGCCTGCATGACAGGAGCTGTGCTTGAGAGCTTCACTGAAGAGCTGCACCCTTGGTCTCATCAGCCCCTGGATGGAATGTTGATGACAAGATCCTGTGCTCTAACTATAGTGAGATGAGACTTGGCTTTGTGGAGGGAGTAGGTGTATTTTCATGTGCAAGGGCTATAAATCAGTGGGGCTGGAGAGACTCCAGGACAGCCTAAGTAATCCCTCTCCTGGCATTCACACTACTTTCCCTCACTGCTATGTGCCAGATGGGCGTGCATGGCTAATAGAATTAGCTGTAAGTAATGATACGCCTCTTCTGCCTTGGTTCTCTGTCCTGACTCATGGCTTGCTTTGGAAGCCATGTTGTTTGCAGCCTAATGCAGAGGACCCTGTGCCAAGGAACTGAAGCTTCCAAGTGAACTTAGTGGACCCTAGCTCCAGCCACAGCCTCAGTGACTGGCCTAGCTGCCATCTGGTGAACTTGTGCTCCCAGATTTCTGATTCATAGAAACAGGGATGGAATGGGACACAATGTTTGTTTTAAGCTATTTTATGGTGATATATAAACAGTATAGGAAATAGCTGGGCTATCTTCTTCAGCAATGCAAAATCCTTACAAAATGGTAGATGTGTTTCACAGACCCAGTAAGTTTCCATTATTCTGTGAAATATACTCAAAATGCAATGCAACAGAAAACATTAACACTTCCAGCTCCACCTGTTCTGGCCACTTTCATAAGTTTTACTTTAGCTGTCCACCCATATCCATTTCCAAGGATTTTGAGTACAGAAAATGATTATCACTGTTAAAAGGAGTATCTGTTGCCATCTGTACAATTCAGTAGTTAATAGTGGTTCCTAATGTTTGTAGAATAAAATTCCCCCATCTCCTGAATTTTTTTTTTTTTGGCCAGTCCTGTGGCTTGAACTTGGGCTTGGGCACTGTCCCTGGGCTCATTTTGCTCAAGGCTAGCTAGCACTCTACCATTTGAGCCACAGCACCACTTCTGGTCTTTTCTGTGATTAATTGGAGATAAGAGACTGGATGACTATCCTGCTTGGGCTGGCTTTGACCCACGATCCTCAGAGCTCAAGCCTCCTGAGTAGCTAGGATTACAGGTGTGAACCATCAGAACCCAGCTCGGTGTTTGAAGTCTATCTTGTAATGTAGTACAGACTGGCTTCCAATGTCATCTTGCTCTTCATCCTCCTGACTGCTGTGATTACAGATATTAATGCTCTGCTTTCCTGAAAATACCATTAGGACTATTTCTTGGTATGTGAATGTAGACTTTCTTAAAAATAGAAAACAACAGTTGGATGTACATCTAAAAGGCTAAAAATAGCCGTGCTTAATTGTTTCCTTGGTTACAAGAAGCAGTGAGTGTTTCCCCCTGGACTTAGAGAAAAGAATTATGATGCCTAAAAATCTTTAGATTCTTGGTAATAAGAGTGCTAAGTTTGCTGGGAAGGTGGCTCAGTGGTAGAGCGCTTGCCTTGCATGCATGAGGCTCTGGGTTCAATTCCCCAGCACCACATAAGCAAAAAGAAAAAAAAAGCCAGAGGTGGCGTTGTGGCTCAAGTGGTAGAGCGCTAGCCTTGAGCTGAAGAGCTGAGGGACAGCGTCCAGGCCCAGCGTTCAGGC